CGTCCACCTAATTTTGGTCAATATTATTTTTGGTCGAGTCCTTTTCTTAATATTTTTAGGTAAACAATTCGGATATGTAATCATATTAAGGATTATAAATTTGTATACATATCTTTGTAAACATTTCTAATCATCCTACTAAGAATTCGATAAAAAAAAATATAGAAAAGAAAAGTATAATAAAGAGGACATATAATTCCACTGTGAACATATTTAATTTTCTGGAACATTCTAACTATAGATTCAACACCAAATTCCTAAAGATTAGAAATATTCTATTTTTTTAAAAATTAGGTAGAGTAATACACATATACATTTCATTTTTCAAATTTTTTATTTTTAAAATTTAATGCAAATTAATTGTTATAAAATGCAATATTTTATCTATGAGTTGATTACAATTTTAATTGGTTAATAATATTTCGCGACTCATAAAGATCTAACATTCAAATTTTTCATTCGAATATAATACAATTCATGCAAAGGTTAAAGGTAGTAAACCATTAATTAGAATAATAATAACAAAAAGAAAAAAGGAATGAGGAACGAAAAAAGCACACCACCTTCAAATCTAATTTCCTAAAGTGAATTGCTAAACGCAATTTAATTTTACTTCCCATAGATTTTAAAATAAATTAAAATATTCTTGAACCCAAAATCTTCTTAAATTTTTTAAACGATCATCTTTTTACAACTTCACACATATTGTTCAATATAAAATTAAAATTTCACTCATTGTTAATGGTTTGCAATGATCGAGAACCAAATAACACATGAAAGAGGATTTTACTCTTTTGGTGTGATAATATTTTTTCGTTTTTTTTTTTTTTGTTTTTGGTGTGATGGGTCGTGTTCGGTGTTATGGGTTTTCTTATAGATTTTGTTTTGTTTATTTTTTTATTTATTTTTGGTGAAATGCTTTTGCCTAAATTTTATGACTTTGGTAAGATCGGTGGTCGGTGTTTTTTTTTCTTTTCGCAAAATGGGTGATCGCTTTTTCTTTTGATGGATCTTTTCTTTTTCTTTTTTTTTTTGGTATGATTGACGATTTTGGTGTTATGAAGAACAAAAGATTTAAATTACCTCTGCTGTAAATATTCAACACAAGTTGCCTCGTGGTTTAGAGTAATGATTTTTCTTTATTGATAGAAAAATGGAATTAGTTTTGAACTTCAATGTCTTTGGTTTTTACTACACGTGCAAGGGTAGTTTTCAAAGGCTACACAATCTATGATGAGGTATCATTCCTAATTTTCCATTGATTCTTTTTATTAAATGGAGAGAGCTGGTATCAATGGTCTCTTGTTATCAATTTTGCAATCGTTTTTTAAGTCACCCATCAACGATCTTAATTTTGTCCGATGACAGCAGAATAATAAACTCAAAAATTAAAAAGGAACGAAAACTCGGGAAGAATATAATATTCTTGCAGCTTGTCCATGTCAAACATATTGAAAGCAAGAGAAAATAGGTATTGTTAAATATAGCTTAATTTTATTTTACGCAACTCGATTTTACTTTGTACAACTTCATATAAGTATTTAAATTTATTTTACAAGTTGCGTGAAATAAATTTAAGCTCCATTTAGCAATACCATTTAAAGGAGTAACTCGTAAATAGTTGTATTTACTTTTACGATTAGGGTTTGGTAACTTGTTCAATGTGTATATAAATATATCCCTGTATACATTAATACAAGTATGATTTTACCAACTCTTTATGGTATCACGAGACTAGATTTTTTTTTTAAAACCCTCAACTCTCCAATTTCGGTGGCCTATTTCACAAGTTTTTTTTTCCGCCGCTGCTCCATCTTTCTGTTCAAGATGGTGACAAAACCACCAGACCTTTGGATACGGTTTTGGCTGACAAAACCAGACTGCAACTACTTTGGTTGATCCTCGTTCTCCCTTTTACGTTCACCCGTCTGATTATCCGGGTTTGAACTTCGTCACCCAACCTTTGGCTGAGAACGGAGGCAACTTCTTTGCTTAGCGGAGTAGCTTCCCCACTGCTCTTCAATCCAAGAACAAAGCAGGCTTTGTTGATGGATCAATTCCCATGCCGGCTGCTGATTCTGCCGACCTGCAGTCTTGGATTCAATGCAACGCATTGATCAAGTCATGGCTTCTCAACACAGTTTGCAAGGAGCTTCAAACCGAAGCCACTCACGTTCCCACAGCTCAAGCAATTTGGGAAGATTTTGATGAACGCTTTACACAAGGCCTGGCTCCCCGGTTGTATGAATTGAAACGTTCCATTGCCTTGCTTCAGCAGGAACGATCTCTCACTTCCACGTACTACGGCAAACTCAAAGCGACCTGGAACGAACTCCAAAATTTGCGCCCCTTTCCTGCTTGTGAATGCGGCGGCTGTACGTGTGATCTGAACAAGCAGCTTCAAACCTTGACTGAAGAGGAGAAAGTTTTCGATTTTCTGATGGGACTTGATGACACATACAAGACGGTCCGATCTCAGATTCTTGCCCTCGATCCCCTTCCTACACTCGGCCGGGCGTATGCTATTGTTGCTAGCAACGAAAAACAACGACGTTTGGCTGATTCTCGGCTTTCGATTGTTGATGCTGCAACTCTGGCTGTGAAGAGTTCCCCGGTTCGTCGAGAAGCTCGCGATTTTGCCGGTGCCAAGTCTCCCTGCAGTCACTGTGGTTGATTGAATCACTCCAGGGACTCATGTTATGAGCTTGTCGGGTACCCTCTTGGTTGGCGAAAACCTCGACAGAAACGGGAGGTGCAGTCTCAATCGCGTGGCTCTTCGGTTTCCAATCTAGTTGCTCCTGCTGATCCGGTGTTGCCTTAGCCTTCATCTGCTCCATTGGCTTCATTATCCGCCGCCCAACTCCAACAATTATTCCAAATGCTTGGCCAACAAGTCTCTTCCGACGTCGCTAAGCCCTCAACTGCTAATCAATTGTCTTCCACGGGTAAGCCGGCTGCTTGGGTGTGTGATTCGGGTGCTACCGATCATGCTTCCAATCAGTTGCAATCTATGACGGATGCCAATTTTCCTCAGGGTTCTCTTTCTGTTAAAATTCCTAATGGTGAACAGGTTCCCGTTCAAGCCATTGGTCGAATTAAGCTTGACGATTCTTTACATCTGGATAATGTTTTGGGCGTGCCTAATTTCCATTTCAACTTGATCTCTGTTAGTCGGTTGACAAGAGATTTGAACTGTTTTTTCACTTTTGGCCCTGACTTATTCTTTAGACAGGATTTAACCTCGAGGAGGCTGATTAGAATGGGTAAAGTGCGCGATGGATTATATTACCTCGAGCCCATGAAGGCTGGTGGCGAGAAGCGGATTCTTTCTGTTCGCAAAGGCGATACAACAACTCTGTGGCATCGTCGTTTGGGGCATCTGCTGGTTACTCGTCTTTCTTTAATTCCTAGCATTTCCGTTGTTTTTAATCCTTCCAGCACATCTGCCTGTGATGCATGCTGTCGTGCTAAACAAACTCGTTTACCATTTCCTTTGCATCAAAATAAAAGTTCGAACATTTTTGATTTAGTGCATTGTGATATTTGGGGACCTTATCCCACTTCGTCTAAATCTGGTGCACATTATTTTCTCACTATTGTTGATGATTACAATGAGTAACTTGGGTTTTTCTTATACGCTCTAAATCGAAACTAAGCGTTATTTGTTACTATTTTTTAACCTGGGTTCATACAGTTTAATTCCAAAATTAAAGTTTTCCGTACTGATAATGGTCTCGAGTTTTCTCATTCTTCCTTGTTGTCTCATTTTTTTGATCATGGGATTGAAAAACAAACCAGCTGCCCCCATACTCCTCAAAGAAACGGGGTAGTTGAGCGCAAACATAGGCATCTCTTAGAAGTCGCAAGGGCTTTGCGTTTTCAGGCAAATTTGCCAATTGATTTTTGGGGGGAATGCATTCTCACTGCTGCATACTTAATTAATCATATCTCATTATCTGTGTTGCATAATAAAACCCCTTATGAACTTTTATATGGCCATCCACCTTCCTATGATCAATTGCGTAGTTTTGGTTGTTTGTGTTATGCTCATGTTTCTGCCAAACCTAGGGATAAATTTGCCTCTCGTGGTTGTCCGAGAATTTTTATTGGTTATCCATACACTACAGGAAAAATGGCTTTTGGCGACACACAATGTATGCCGCGAAAAGTAGCAAAAGTGCCGCGAATAACATATTGCGACAGAAATTACGGCATATCACAAAGTGACGCGATAAGTGCGGTCGCAAATATTTGCGACACTTAAAAACAAGTGTGTCACGACATATGCGACACTTATGCGTCAATATAAACACGTCGCATTAAATTCGCGACACATCTTGTGTCGTTTTTTATTCCATGTCGCGATATGATTGCGACATTTTGTTTGCGTCGATTGAGTACTGACGCTTATTGATGCGACATATTTAGCGTCACCTTTTGAATGTGCATCAAAGTTCCGCGACGCAAATTTGAAAAAGTCACATAATTTTAGTGACACAACTCTTTAAATGTTGCATGTTTACTGCGGCAAAATATTTATGTTAGTAACTAAAGTGCCACAGAAAATAATTTGCGACACAAGTTTTGATGTCATAATTAGATGTCATGCGGCACAAAAAATATGTCGCATTTTTTGAGGCATTATTTGGGGTATTGTTTTGCATATCTTTTATTATTTTATGCTGATATATAATGTATTGTACAACTATTTTTTTGAATTGCATTACAGCCCTTATTTTGGAATAGCATTTATTTTTTACAACATTTAAAGTGTTTGTGGAACCCAATAAAAAAATAAGCATAATATTATTGTCGAATCAATTTTTAAGAGCAAAATAGAAATTCGCTAAAAGAAAAAAAGATTAGCATCCCATACAAACTTAAATGGAAAGCAACTAAGTCCATAAAAATTAAAATCCCACAAAAAGTACATATCGTCATTACAAAATGTTCTTTCAATTCAAACATAGAAAACTAGCAGATTTTTGAAAGCTTCATCATCATGTAACCTTTTGAATTTCCTGCAAAAACAAACCAAAAAAATGAGAGAAAAACAAACTAATTTGTATTTATCACAAAATCGCATGCTTGTTTTTGTTTTTGTTCGGCAAGAAATTAATAGTAGTTACCTTATCATGTAGCTAGGCGCTTGGAGACCCTTCTAGCTTTCTTACGTTCCTATTAAATTTCAAAAATATGAGCTCATTTAGACACATATAATGATGAAAAACTTGAAAAACAAAAATTGTTTCCGAAAAGCTAAAAATGTATGTTACCTTAGTGGAAGTAGCATCTGAACAAATCAATGGAGGATTATCATCTTTAGATTGATTTATCTCTTTGCTCACCTAATCAAAAGATAAAAAAAATGTAATGAAGAATAAAATAATTTATAATTGATTTATAATTGAATGTAATACAACTTTTCATTAACGTACCTTAGTAGATTGATTTGTTTGGCCATTATTTGATGAGTTTCCTAATCCATGCAAAGGTTCATTCAAAGCAATTTGGTGCTGGGAATTAGAAGAATCTTGTACCTAAGACATTTTTTTTATGTCGCAAAGGTAAATACAATATAATTTTTCTTGTAATAATTTTTGTAAAGTGAACTCAAACCTGGGTATTTGGACTGCCAAAGCTAGAAGATTGATCCTGCATCATTGTTTTCATTTCGGCAAGCCAATCATCTTTCATTTTGGATAATCTTTCATCCATCTCATTCTGCAATTTAATCTCCAAATTGTGTTGAATGCTTGCAACTCTCTCATCAACTGCTCGATCAAATTCTTGTTGAGAGGTGAACACTTTCTTACTTTTTGAAACAATCTTACAGCTGCGTAGGCATCCTGGAGCATCTTTTCTAATGACGTCTTCAAAAATTTTATTATTAGCCTCAATATCATCTTGCAACTCAGGTGGCAATTGTTGCTTCAACGCCTTTAAGGTGGCCTGATATTTCATAAAGATATAAAACAAAATTATGTAAGAAACAGTAATAATTATGAAAAAGATTGAGAATAATGAATAAGTATGGAGCATTTCATTGGTTAATCACTTCTACTTCAGATACTTACTATTTTTTGAGAAGTAAACTCGTCCAATGGTTGTCCTTTTTTTCCTTCTCTTGATTGGATGAATACGTCTATCGTGGATGGTTTTTTCCCATTATTTTGACAAATCTAACAATGAATTCAGATTAAAAGCAAGTTAAGAAAGTATCATAACCAAAAATTAACTTTAATAATAGAAGTATGGAAAGATCATACCTGATTTTGAAGATTATAGGTATCCGTTCTCCCTGTCTATGTGGCATTTGCAAGTCTTTCCGGTTCCTTTTATTTCTATTGCTAATTTTCTACAATTCAATAAAACAAGAGGATGAAGTTTATGTATATAGTTCCCAGATTCAATATAAATCTACATATATATAAAAACATGAAAAATTCAGTACGTCATACTAACCCTTGCTCTCTTGGAAAGCCAATAGTTAACCAATGCAGGCCATTGATCCTCTTCAATTCTTCCTGGACGATTAGCTAGTAAGTAGGTTTTGTCTCGCTGTGTGGGCGAAAGTACTTTTCTTTTGTTCTCATTTTAAAATCCTTCCAAAGCTTGCCAACCCTCCGCAAACATGTCTTCTTATAAACATCGGTAAGATTTGTGTTCTCCTAGAATGACAACATTACATTTACCATAAAATTGTAATTAAATATAGTGGAAGATATATACATAAAAGTTATATATTGATCTCAAGTCATATATAGATAAACAAATGCTTGAAAATGGCCACATTACTTAAGAATTTAAAACAAAGTAACTTAAATCCGACATAACACCTTCACTTCAGCCCACACATCATCTTTCATTGGCTTAGGCAATGCACGCCAATCTGTGTAAATGAGGGTAACTTGTTTCCTTCTTTAGCTAAAACCCCAATTGAGTCGCAAATTCAGCAGCCATGCTTCCAACCACTTGGTTATCATCATTAAGTTCCAATATCATTTTCTCACCGGTTCCCCATCGAAATCCCTGCCTTGTTGGACCTCTTCCAATTGTATCTATCAATCATATAAAATACATCTAAGAAAACATATATATAGGTGTATAAAATATTAACTATTTTTAATATACAACGAACATAACGTTTTGGGAGAGATAGTATTTTCAAATTTATTTAGAAACACATACCTTCTTCTAGTGGATCATTGTTGTTAGCATTTTGCTCATCATCACTATCATCTTCAAATGATTCAGAGGTGTGCAAAGATTCAGAATCAGTAGATGAAGAAGAATTGAGAGAGTTAGAACAATTGGAGTTATTTTCTTGGTTATGAGATCTACTTGTTGCTGGCTCATTTAATAGATCAAGCATTGATCCAATTGCACATTGAGATTTCTTTCTGGATGACACCATTTTGACTGCAAATAATAGAACGGATATTTTAAATCATACACCAAAATAAGCAAATATTTATCAACTATAAAAAAAAATTACCACAAAACATAATTGTACTATATTGGTTTCCCAATGATGTAAAATGCCTAACTCATTGAGCAACTTGCATCCACGTGGGTAGCAGACTCTATACATTCTCATGAGTAAAAGAACCCAGCAGGCAAAATCCAGGTAGAGATGGCTAAAGTTTAAAACAACAATAGCTAAAGTTTCACTTGTATTGTGAATTTCGTATGTCAACACCTTGTGACGATTTATGCTTGCTAGTAAAAAAAAAATCAATTTTCAATAACAAGGAAGCAAATAGGACATATGATAATATCCAAAAGTCACAAACCACAATGATTATACAACCCTAAAACAAGTATTGAAAAAGAACATGAAAATTCGGATCTCTACATATATAAATCAATACGATTACCTTACACGAACAGAAAAATATTTCCCCAAATAGATCGGAGCACTCTTTCCCGGAGTCAGAAAACTTAGAATGGCATGGATACACTTGTAGAAATAATTCCCTGGAACAATCAAATGAAGAAAGGATCTTTGTACTTTAAAATATATAGATGAGAAGTATAAAGTAGAAAATCCCCCGTGATAATTTTCTTGTATTCCCGCTTATTGATTTGTCTTGTTAATTTCCTTCATTACACTAATATCGATCTTTCTTAAAGCTGGTGGGTGAGTTTTTTAACCAGTGAAATTAATATTGAATGCTTTGTAGGCGCCTTGTCTCTTTGATATGAGTGCTTATAATGAATTGGAAGTTCAAGCAAAGTAATAGTTGTCTTGTAATTCGAAGGAAATATTAATAGATTTAGTGGGAAAGCTAAGCGGGAATGTAGACAAAAAAGAATTGAATTAAAATCCTTTGACTTGTTAATTACTTGGCTACAATTATTGAGTCCCGCAGATTGCATACTACACTTTTCATATATTTCTTTATTGAATGAAAAATCACTCTACATTTGTCAAAGCTTAACTAATTTCAAGGGCGGTCCAACTTGTTTTTATGACAATTTGAAATGTGGCGAACAAGTCCCTTATTTTAATTATTTGACAATAGTAACTAATTGATGATTATTAACAAAAGTAACTATCCACCGTCAAATATAATTTCAAATACATTGTTGACAATAGTAATTATCCATTGCTAGTAACTTGCATATCCTAACTATAAATTGTCTTTATTTTTAGTTTTTCTTTAATCATATAAAGACTGTCAGCATATCTTTGATGTACTAGACGCGTATTATCCGTCGGTAAATCTTGATCTAGTAGGCGTTAGTATTCATCAATAGATCTCATTCTATTGATCGTTATTTAGTTCCTTTTTTGATTGTGTGTGATCTTTAGTTTATAGTTTTGTCCATGATTGTATTGTTGTGGTTCATAGTCATGGTTTATGTTTAAGAATATGAAATCAAAGTAGATCTATATTTTAGATATGCTTTTTTGGAGCCTTCATCTGATGATAAATGAAGCATTCGAGATCGGATTTTTTCTTTGGTACGTGATGCTTCCAATAAATATTTGCGGATGCTATGGAAAAGTTAGTGATTTGATCGTCTGCAGTAAAGATGATCAGTTGATTCTTGGATATAGAATTTTACTTGATCGTAGTATGTTAGTGATTGTAATTCTCTATCAATCCTGGTTAGACGTTTTCCAACAAAGTTAATAGAAGTTTCTTTTATCTAAAAATTACTCCCCTTGTCCCAAAAATTACTATCTCAAAATCGTTGTTAGTAATTATTATTATTATTTTCTTACTACCCCTGTCCCAAAATTACTATTCAGTTTGGATTTCACTTTTAATTCAATTTGTACTAAAACTGAAAATCCAAACTTAAAAATAATTTTTGAAAATCCAGACTATACAAAAGGAGTAATAAGTATTAATAATTCACAGTCTAAGAAATATTTGTACTTTGTAGTTATTATTTTAATTTTTTTTATTTGAAGTAATTATTAATTATGGTCTTATCGAAAGTCTAGGACTATCAAAATAAATTAGGCTCAAGTTGACAGATTGGGTTGATTTTTTTTTTTTTACCTTACGCGAAGCCTAAAAGGTTTAATTATATCTAAGTGAAGATCTTTATTCCTTACTTCACCTTTTCATTAATTAGATTATAGTAAATGTGTAATTTAACATTTATCTTGGTATGAAAAAATTAGAATCTGTTTGATTAAAAAAAAATTTACTCCAGTGAAACACCATAATCACTAAGTGTTGTTCAATTCCCCTCCGTTTGAAATTTTAAAAGACAAGAAAATAAAAGTGTTTTTAAGTTTTATTCCCTTCATTTAAAAAAGGAAACATGACAAAAAGTAAAAAAATATATAAAAAGAGAGTAGTATTCATATCTAATATAGCCAAATTAATGAGGGATCATCACATCAAAATACAACACCCAAATTATTAGAGATAATGGCAAATCTTTCTTTCCCCTGTCCCTCGAGTATTTTTTTAAAGCTATTTGGAAAAATGAAGAAAAAGAAAGAGAACACACATAAAAGAAAGATTGATTGCAGGAGACATTATATAAAATGGGGATCATTATGGTTCACGGTTATTAAGAAATACAAAATAAGAAATAAAAAATAATACTAAAGGAAAGTAAATGCCCCAAATTATCATTTGTCCACTCACATATTCTCTTCCTCTTTTTCTTTTTCTTTTTTTTTTCCCCTTTTACTAACACCTACAAACTAAAAAGACGCACTAAACACCACCCCAACATCAAAACTGGTTTTTCTCCAGAAACCCGCTCACCTCACCGAAGCTCAACCGATCGAAATTAAACCCGTCGACGCGCGACCACCGCCTGTCACCTGCCCACCCGCCGGTTTCCATCTTTCATCTCACCATAATTGATGTTCTAACCCGTAATCCATTGTATTTGGTAAATAATTTGCTGGCTCGATGAATTGTTACGACGCAAAGAAGGTAATCCGATCCATTTCTTTTGCATGCTTGCCAATTTATCAAATCCACTTGATATAATTGTTTGAGGGGTGATTTTTACTTGAATGGAGTCTTTTGATTAGAAAAATTACATCATAATCATTTTCGAATTTACTTGAATGGGCACACCATTTGCTGCAATCTTTCAATTTTTTATTCTGGAAAATAGGAAGCAAAGGTATCATTTTTCTTACAGTACAGTAAAGCAACGCTGATATCTTAAACCACTTTCGGTTATGTAGCCCCTTCCTTCACATTTTGTGCATTTCAAGTACTTATTTCCCCTCATGTTTGGGGAGTCATGGCTATTAATTTTCTGCAGCTTAGATGAGGCACTACTTCGATATAAATTGAGTTTATTGATTGATTTTTTGTATTTTTCTGAACTAGAATGTGTGTTTAGTCTCTTTGATTTTTTAACCTTTTTATTTGCGCTTTTGGGTCTGAAGGCTATTTTGGTTTGCCCAAACTTTTATAATCTCAAAGCATTTAGTTGACATTGTAGTTGATTCATTCTAATTATTCTGAAGACTCTCTAAAGTATTATGTTTTTTATGCATATATACAGATTGATAAATCCTGGATTCATATAAAAGTAGCACGAGTGACTAATGAGGCTTTTAGACGGGGTGTAGAAGAATTTCTTGACTTTGCCTACAAAAACAAGCAAGCAAATTCGAAAATAAAGTGTCCATGCAGAAAGTGTCGGAACTCCAAAAGCCTGTCGAGGGATGATGTCCACTTGCACATTCTGAGGTATGGTTTTTTTGAAAGTTATTCTAATTGGGTTCATCATGGGGAAAAGAATAAGTACAGTCAGCAACATTTGGATACTGTTTTTGAAGAAAGAATAGAGAATGATGATCTGCAAGGTTTGATACATGAGGGACTCGGGACTTCATATTCCCATATTGGAGCTCATCAAAATTTCAATGGTGCTAGTCCAGATAGAGAAGCTGAACAGTTTGACAAACAATTTGATGAGGGTACAGAAAAGTTTTTTAAACTATTAGAACATGCTGAGGCTGAGTTGTTTCCTGGGTGTAAAAGTTTCACTCTTTTGTCTTTCATTGTTCGCTTGTTGCATGTGAAATCACTTTGCCGATGGAGTAACAATTCTTTCACAATGTTGTTAGAGATCCTAAAAGAGGCATTCCAAAGTGAGTTATTTCCAGGTTCTTACCACGAAGCTTGGAAACTTGTCAAGGATTTGGGTTTAGATTATAAAAAGATTCATGCTTGTCCTAATGATTGTATGCTTTATTGGAAAGAGGCAGAAAATGATGACAAATGCAAGCATTGTAAGACTTCTAGATATAAGCACTTCAATGGGCAAAATGAGGATTTATGTAAAAGTGAACAAAAGATTCCAGCAAAGGTTGTTCGCTACTTTCCTTCAATACCAAGGCTTCAAAGATTTTTTATGTCTTCAAAAACTGCTTCTTTGATGAGATGGCATGCAGAAGAACGCATTGATGATGGAAAACTTCGGCATCCAGCTGACTCTCGAGCATGGAAAAGTTTTGATGAAAAGAACCCAAGTTTTGCGGCTGATTGTCGCAATGTACGACTAGGACTTGCTGCTGATGGGTTCAACCCATTCAAATCAATGAGTATTGCTCATAGCACTTGGGCGGTTGTTCTGATTCCCTATAATCTTCCACCATGGCAATGTATGAAACAACCTTCATTCATATTATCCACACTCATTGATGGTCCTCGAGCTCCCGGAAACGACATTGATGTGTATTTGCAGCCGCTCATTGATGAACTTCAAGAATTATGGAGTCCTGGGGTTCCAACATATGATGCAATAGAAAAATGCATGTTTCAGCTACGCGCAGCACCACTTTGGACAATAAATGACTTTCCAGCTTATGGAAACCTTTCTGGTTGGAGTACAAAAGGTGTGTATGCATGTCCTTGTTGCAATAAAAATCCACAGTCTCGTTGGTTGAAAAATGGGAACAAACATTGTTATATTGGTCATCGTCGTTTTCTTCCAATCAAGCACAAGTATCGCAAAGATTTACTGCATTTTGATGGCTCTGTGGAGAAATCTCCTAAGCCGCAAAGATTATCTGGCTCAGAAATTTTGGAGCAGTTAGATGGGATGGTGAATATATTTGGAAAATTACCATCAACTGTTGGGGGGGAAAAGGAGAAAGAGAGTGAAAGTGCATGGTGATGCAACATCAATAAGTCGGTATAATTGGAAGAAGTTGAGCATATTCTTTCAATTACCTTATTGGCAAGAAAACATTATCCACCACAATCTTGATATTATGCACATTGAGAAAACTTTTGGAAAATCTCTTGTGGACATTGCTTGGTGTCAAAGGTAAAACCAAGGATAATGTTAAGTCACGATTGGATCTTCAAGAATTTGGGATTAGAAAAGCACTTCATCCTCAGAGGAAAGGAGATAAGTTTTATCTGCCCCCAGCTTCTTTCACCATGAGTAAAGATGAGAAAGATGTGTTTTTGAAAGTATTAAAGAATGTAAAGGTCCCTGATGGGTATGCTTCTAATATCTCAAATTGTGTTAATCTTGAGGAGCGAAATATCTCTGGTTTGAAGAGTCATGATTGTCATATATTGATGCAACAGTTGTTACCAATTGCTTTGAGGAGATCGGTGCCTAAACATGTTTGCAGTGCCATAGTTAATTTGTGTGATATTTTTAAACAGTTGTACTCGAAAGTTCACTCTGTGTCTGATTTTGAATGTTTGGAGGATCGAATTGCATTAGCACTTTGTGAATTAGAGAAGATATTTCCGCCTTCATTTTTTGACGTTATGGAGCATTTGCCTGTTCACTTAGCTGAAGAAGCTAAATTTGCTGGTCCTGTTCATTTTCGTTCTATGTACCCTATAGAGAGGTATCTTATCTCATTATCTATATTTTATAAATTCACTTTTGATTAACTGTAACTTGTGAATAAATAGCAATTCGTTTTTCAGGTACCTATGCACATTGAAAAGTTACGTCCGAACCCGAAGTCACCCAGAAGGATCTATAGCTGAGGGTTATCTTGCCGAAGAATGCATGACATTTTGCTCAATGTACTTGAAGGACGTGGAATCAAAATTGAATAGAACAAGCAGAAACTTTGAAGGTGTCAAAGGTTCAAATTCAGGAAGCGGTCGTCCCATTGGGAAAGAAGAAGTTATTTACCTTGGTGATATTGAATGGATCCAAGCTCATAGATATGTGATCAATAGTTTATCAATTGTTGACGACTATAAAAAGTAAGTATAAATTGTTTTGTTTTAATAAGTGTTAAATTTTTCATTATGTTAAATCAATTAATTGTATTGTTTCAGGGAACACTTGCATGTACTTAAGCATGAAAATCCACGCATGTCAAGTTACAATATGGAGAAAATTCACAGTGAAACTTTTAATGATTGGTTTAAAGCTAAAGTAAGTTAATACTTAATTCTTATATAAATTTGTAATTATTATGTAACATAGTTTTTATATCTAATGTCTAATCATGTTTTTCTATTTTGCTTTAATTTGATAGGTTAGGGAAATGGAGCAAGCAAATGGTTGTGATAGTATTCATGAAGACATTCGTCACTTGGCTGTTGGTCCAAGTAGATGGGCTAGACGATATTCCGGGTATGTCGTAAATGGCTTAAGGTTTCACACTAAACAACGTGAGATGAGAAGGAAAACTCAAAATAGTGGAGTATTTGTAAGTGCAACCACAAGTAGCTTTTCAAGTACTAAGGATAAAAATCCTATTTCTGGAGAAGTATCATTTTACGGTGTTTTGAAGGATATCATTGAACTAAGATACACTAGCCATCTTAAGTTTGTGTTGTTCAAGTGTGATTGGGTAGACTACAATATTGGATTGCGGCATGATGAGTTCAATTTCACATTAGTCAATTTTAACCATTTGTTGTATAAGCGAAATAGAAAAACTGATGAGCCGTTCATTCTAGCTTCTCAAGCCCAACAAGCTTGGTACATTGAAGATCCACATAATCCAAATTGGTTTGTGGCTTTGAAAATGAATCCTCGAACTTTGTTTAATGTAGATCCTGAAGTTAATTTTGTTAGCGAAACTGAAGATGATAGTTACATACAACAACCTAATGATGTGGATATTGTACATAATGACACATCGTGGGCTAGAGCAGATGTTGAAGGTGTCACACTTGACCCACCAAGTCCCAAGGCTAAAAGGAGTCGCCGCTTTGGTGAAGTTGACCCTAATGATTTAAGCTCAAGTGACGAAGAAATAATGTACGCTAGTGATGGATCTGATGCTCCAAGTGATGATGATGACTTTTTTGAACAAAGAAATGTGGCAAATGAGGATAGCGAGGCTTAATAAGAAGGTTTGTACTTTATTTCTTGCTTAACTTTTAACTTGATTTTTGCTTCTGTTTTTCTTACATGTTTAGTCGTTCGAATGTATTAGATTGTGAAGATTAGATTTTATGGTTTCCATTCTTGATTGCCTCCTCTCAATAAAAAAATCTTGTTAGGAGCAGTGAACCTAACATATGATGCAACTGCAACCTTGGTTTTTTGTTACTTTTTCACATTATGCTTGAGATTTCACATATGCGAACTTGAGCTGCACTCAAATTCCATGGAACTGGCAAATTTAAATTCAACTCTACTGCATATTGGCTGCCATGTGTATTGCCTTTTTTTTATGTGCTTGTCAAGCTAGGCTCATTAGTTTCAATCATTTTTTAGAGTTTCCTGAATCGGAAAACTGTGGTGCTAAGTTGTAACCTTGTTCTTCAAGAATTACTCTTCATGTAGGCAAAAAGGTAAGAGTACGGCATAATAAGTGGATAAAACAATACAATGAAAATGTAGCAGTTACTTATTGCTCTGTGGATAAATTTGAAATTTTTCCTACTCCATTGCATGAATCGTGGTGTTTGTATGTCACTTTTGTTGTAGCATACATCGCTGTGGGATCATATTTTACCGTTCTAAACTGAACTACTTTGGTTAATGATGGGTCTGATTTCGCCTTAGGTGCAGCGTCGAGGCAGCTTCCTCGGAACTGGAATATGCATTGCTGACAGTTAATGAATGGAAGATAAAGAGTATCGGATTGTATTGATGCCATTTGGGATGACACCAGTTCTATGTATAAATGACCAACACTAGAGAAGTGCTAAACCTGTGGTCTACAAATGATATAATTTTATATCAGTTGCTGAAAACAATTCTTCCTCTTGATTATTTGTGGAGCCATATTGGCTTAAATTGACTCCTTTTGATTATGCATTGGTACGACTCTTCTTGGTTAATAGATTCAAATCCCTATTTCTTTATGCTCATTTGATGACATGGCTTTCTTCTTCTTTCTTAGAAAAAAATGGTTAAAATATTTACTTTATCAAGTATTGTTGAACAGGACTTTCGACAATATTTTATATTAAATTCAATCGCAAAATTTTGGTCAACTTTAATGATAAGTATATTGATCATAAAGAAACAAATAGTTTATAGGTTGAAGAAGTAAACCAATCAACCTAAGTGCAAACCGGGGTGAATTTGAATTAGATAAGAATTGTTTGTAATGATTTCAAATTTGTTCGATTTATAGCAAAACTTGAATCACAAAAATGGAAAATTGATAAGTTTTTAGTCATGATGGAATTTAATAATGCAAAAAAAAAAGGTGGATTTGTATGGTTTACGTATGAACAACAATTTGTTAAAGTGATGCAATGCTTATGACGGGATATTGAGACCTTAAAAGTTAGTAACGCAAAATCGAGGCAATTCTATTAAATACCACAAACATGACACAAACTCGCGACAAAAATAAAAACGTGTCGAAAATTAACGACACTTTAAGTGAGTGCAGCAAAGAAACGGCGTTAATTTGCGGTAGAAAAATTTAATGTCGTAAATTAGTGGCATTTTTATCGTATGACGCCGTAGCGCCACAAATATGCTACAAATAGAAAAAAATGACGCTAATTTGCGACACTTCTCTGCGACACCACTTTTAAATGTGATGTCGGAACTTTGGGGAGGAAGCTTTAACAAAGAAGGTTGTGATTAGGACTTGTATCCATAGTGTACGATAGACTCTCTTATTACATTCATGTTAGGTTTTGGTTGAGTGTCATAGAAATCTCTTTCATGTTTGGATTTTGGCATGGGGAACTGGAAAGTGCTGGGATGAACAGCTTCTTCCTGATGTGCTGAAGAATTTGTGGCATGATATTTCCTTTTAAGGACATCTTGTATTAACCTTTGACTTTCTTAAGAAAAGGGAAAAGAATGCATCTCGTTCCGGTTCGGGGTGTTTTGGATCCAATTTTTGCTCACAAGTATTTTGCGGTAAACTTGATAAACTTACAATATCTGAGTTTTTGCTTCCAGGCCTGGCTTGCATGACCGTCATGTTTATAACGACATTCCTGATGTCACTCGTAATAGTATTTGTGTGGCAAAGGAGCACATTATATGCGGGGGCATTCCTCCTGTTATTTTGGGTCATTGAAGGTTCTTATTTGTCAGCGGCTGTAATAAAGGTTCCTCAGGGTGGTTGGGTCTCCCTTTTGCTGTCATTCGTTTTCATGTGCATTATGTTTGTTTGGCACTATGGAACTCGCAAGAAGTACAACTCCGACCTGCACAACAAAGTTCCACTGAAATGGTTACTTGGCTTGGGACCCAGCCTTGGTATCGTTCGTGTGCCTGGAATAGGTTTAATATACTCGGAGTTGGCTACAGGAGTTCCTTCGATCTTTTCTCACTTTGTGACAAATCTACCTGCTTTTCATTCTGTATTGGTGTTTGTTTGCGTGAAGTCGGTCCCTGTGCCATATGTATCACCTGAAGAACGCTTCCTCATTGGTCGAATTTGTCCGAGACCGTATCGCATGTATCGTTGCATCATAAGATATGGATACAAAGACATTCAGCGAGATGACGGGAACTTTGAAAACCTGCTGATTAAAAGTATAGCTGAGTTCATTCAGATGGAAGCTGTCGAGCCGCAGTTCTCGAGCCCTGACAATGCGTCATTTGATGGGAGGATGGCGGTCATAAGCACGAGAGATGTTGGGTCTAGTTCAAGTTTAATCTTATCAGAGCATGACGATTTTGATGCTGCAAGTAACTCCATCCAAAGCAGCAGCAAATCCTTGACACTTCAGAGTCTGAGATCGGCATATGAAAATGAGAACCCTCAAATGAGGCGACGCCAAGTCAGGTTTGCATTGCCAGAAAGCCCCGGTATGGATATTGCGGTTAGGGAAGAGCTGTTGGATTTAATTCAGGCAAAAGAAGCTGGCGTCGCATACATAATGGGGCACTCGTATGTGAAGGCAAGAAGGTCATCATCTTTCTTGAAGAAGCTAGTAATCGATATCGGGTACTCCTTTCTTAGGAAGAATTGCAGAGGTCCTGCAGTTGCTCTTAACATCCCCCACATTAGCCTTATAGAAGTTGGGATGATATATTATGTGTAGAAGAGAGCTCCTCATGCATTGTCATTTTGCCAGTATTTTTGTTAAATCTTTGACAAATGCTAAAAAATGGCAGCAGAATAGCCTTTGAGGAACACAATCTTTAAGCACCTTCTCTTTATTTTTTAGCCCTGGGGGTGGATGTATATACTACAGTACTGCATAGGCATCAAATACTGTGGTGTTTTTTTTGACCTTATTTTATGGTTTACATTACAGTCTGAAAGATGCATATAGTATAATCTGTTACATTGGCACTGAACTTGAATTCATACTGAGAGTTGGGCAAAAGAGCTGCATGGTTCATGTTTTAAAATGGTGAAAACTGTTTGAAAGATAGGTAACCAATTGCACATTCAGCCATGTCATCTGCTACCAGATTGATGAATATTTATAGTGCGGAGCAAATAAACATGAATATCCCTATGGCTTTGGTGTTTGTTGGGTTCAGCGGGTCCGATGATGTTACCTGGGTGGCTTCTTTTCATCAATTTGTGCAATGGGCAAAAAAGCAACGGAGGAGATAGCTGGTTAGCTGGGGGGATCTCAACAAGGGAAGATTGGATAACTTTTATTTCTTTTCTTGCAGCTTTGGATTCATCCACTTCCCGTTGCGTGCAAGGTGGTACAAGCACAAAGAAACAGAGGGCTTTGCCTCCTCCCCTGAATTGGCCCTGGGGAAGATTCATGAATATGAAAAAGCGCATGTCTAACAGAAAAAAAAAGAGAAATTTATAACAACACCGCAACCAATGGAACAGTCTAATGCCGGCACTTTGATCGGACCTACAAGACAAAGAAAAGTGACAGAATCCCAAATTCATAATACCCGGGGCCAAATTGTATTCGGTATTCCTATTTTCCACATTTGCTTTTCTAGTGATCGGATAAAGTGGTATCCGGCCAGCTACTGTAGCAGATCAAAATTCAACCCGAAAACCATTTTGGGCTAAAGAGTGATCAAGAGGTTTCTTCATTTGGTATTACCTGTCGTACACTGGTATCTTCTACGGTCATCGGTGAGGTGTAGAAGTTCAAGATCAGAATGAAGAACAAGATTCAGAAGTATGTTTTATTTTTTAACCACCTTAGATGCTGCTATACATAATTCAGTATTATACATTTGTTAATGTTCAGGGATTAGAATTTGTAAATAGCATAATGATTGTATAAGTTACGTATACAAATCTGACGTGGCATGGTTAGTTAGTCAGTTAAGGGATTAGACCTGTACAAAGATTAAAGTGTTCTCTCTGTTTCTTGAAATCTTGGCGATCACCGTCGAAGGTCAAGAAATTAATCAAAGTGGCAATTTGTAGAATCAAAGAAGAAAAAACGATGGAGTGAGTTATGGAGGCTATAATCATCCTCTTATACTTCTTGCATCCGATATTCAGCCTTCATCTCGATCAATTTCCAGCTGACAGGGTCCAACTATGTGGCTTGGAGTTACACGATGCGTCGGGCTTTCGGTTCTCGCAGCAAAACTTAGGTTTTATTTCAGGGAGCTATGCAAGACCGAGTCCTCAAAGTCCATACTATGATCGGTGGATGCGTGTGAATGATACAGTGATAGCCTGGATTCTGAATTCGATTTCCTCCGGTCTTGTGGAGAATTATACTCTGGAAGAGACGGCCTCTGAATTTTGGGAAGAGTTGAAGTACCAGACCTCAGATCTATCAATTAAGAAGGGAGATATGCACTATTTCTCAAGGTAATGAGCCTGTGGCTGTATATTATTCAAGGCTTAAAAGGCTCTGGGATGAGGTCAACGTATTTAACAGAGGATTGTGAGTGTGGGAAATGCCCTTGTCATCTCAAATTAACTGTAACGAGAGATGCTAAGAGTAGACTGTACCAGTTCTTGACTGGTTTGAATGATTTTTATACATCAGTTCGTAATCAAATTATGATGATGGAACCCTTGCCGGATGTTAAAAGAGCATACTCTATGGTGTTGAATGTAGAGAAACAAATATAGATCAATGTTATTTACAGTACTATCTCACATCAAAGCGCAATGAAGGTTCATCAAAGACAACAATGGCTGTACAAAGAGGAAAATTCAACAAAACTATCAGGGAAAATGATTTCAGAACAGACAAAACCGTGAAGAAGCTTTTGAACTGTGATACCTGCAAGATGAATGGGCATACAAGGGTAGGTTGTTTCCGCATTATTGGTTTTCCAGATTAGTGGAATGATAATCACAAGGAAGGAAAGAAATTACAGTTTCAGAAGATAGACAATCATTCAGTCAACATGGTGGAGTCTAAGGTGGAGTCAACATTGTTGTGCGTACTCGGCGTTTATTGCTAGACTAATCATGAAAAAGGTTGAGAAAAACGTGAAATTACACGGTAAAATTGGTGCAAAAAGATGTGAACAAGTTGGTAAAAGTGAATGTCCCCTACAAGTGAGCGTGGAACGGGAGGAGGAAAGCCATGTAGGTAGTTTATGGTGATTGGTCCTCTAATTTTGAAGAACTTTCTTGGTAAATTTTAATTTTGATAATTGTCAATTAATTTAATTTTGTTGTTACTTGTATTATCATGTATAAACTCGGAAAAACTTGATGTGTAGGTATATTAAAGCACTTAAGAGTACTAATCTCGAAACTGTAGTCGAGTGTGAATGGAAGGAGGGGCAAGTTGGTTGGAATATGAGAAATAGGACTTTCAAATACGTGTTTCGGTCATTTTCACCAGTGGCTGCGACATTTCTTGAATGTCCGCCGGTGATTTGTGTTGATGGAACACACCAACGTGGGGGATACAAGGGTAAGTTGCTAGTTGTTGTGGTGTATACCACAAAGAAACGCATTTTATTGGTTGCATTTGCCGTTGTGGATGAATTGGCCACTCAAAGTTGGTCATTTTTTATGAAGCACTTGAGGTATCATATTGTAGGTGATACAGTTGTTAGTGTGATATCTGACCGGAACATTGGACTTTTGAGGGCAATCCCGCAAATCCCAGAATGGAGTGATTTAGGTGATGGAGCCCACGTGTATTGCTTCCCGCACGTTCGAAGCAATCTAGTGTCGAAATATAAGAGTTTGAGAGTGAAGCGGTTATGCCAATAAATGGGTAGCGCTTAATTTTAAAAAATTCAAGCGATTGAGGGAAGCGCTCTGCAAATTCATTCCTGAAGCATGGGCATATGTTCGGGACATAGGAGGTATAATTGGACTCGATTGAAACCCGAACGTCGTCATTGGGGTGTCACAACAACTAACATTTCTGAGAGTTACAACAATGCCCCAAAAGAAATCCGGTTTTTGCCCATTAGAGCTATGATCGATGCTACATTCCACAAAATCGTTGAATTTTACTGAGAAGAACTATTATTGATGACGAGATGTGATACGCGCATCCCCACTGAGCTATGGACAGTCTACGAACTGAAGAACAACAAAACCGCCACCTATAAGGCTGAACCATACGATGCTGACGATGCTAGTTAGGAGGTGGTAACTCTGACACAGCCGAGTGGGAGAGGTGGGTCGGTGTATACGGTCAACTATGACGCCAAAAGGTGTTTTTGCAAGAAATATCAAGAGTACCACTTGCCATCGCATGAAAAGAAAGTGATCGACATGTTTCCCTATACCATAAGTTTTGGAGGCGTCAAGCATGGCTCAAACAATTTGACTACAATGGTTTTTTACCGATGTCTGATGAGCGACAATGACCTATGGTTTGATTAGAAACTCCATTCGAATTACAAGAAGCTCGTGCTGAATGACGGACCTACCGGACACTAAAAAAGGAGACACAATATGCAAATGGATTACCGTAATCGCTGAAACCGTGGTGTTTGTTGGAGATGCAGAGAATCTCACGATCCTAATTCGTACCCTCACTTGCATCCCAAAGTAGAAAGAACACCTTTGGTGGACCGATGGCAGTGAAAACTGATTAGTTTGTTGCATTTTGGAATGCAGTGTTGGTTTCAAATTACTATCTTGTGTAATCTTTTGGATTAAACATTACATTCGTATCTTGTGTGATGTTTGGATTGAACTATTAAACTACTATCATTAAGCTTAGTGCGGTGCGGTGAGTGTGGTGGAAATTGATGAATGTTTATATGTTTAGGGATTTGGTAATACAAAATTTGTCATTTTTTATTTTTGGGTAGCCAAATCCGAATGCAGTATTTTGTAATGTTTTTTGATTACGCAAATCCGAAACTTACAAAATTTTACTGCGAATACACTCGTATTTGCGTAATCCGAAACTAGTACAAAACGCAAAGTTTTGGATTCGCCAAATCGACAGTCATTGTGGTCAAGAAAAGCATCCGAGACTCACATTTTATCGAAGAACATGGGAGATTCGGATTTGAGTAATTCGACAAGAGTGTTTTGGGATTTGGAAAATCCGAATTAGTCGAGACTATAAATTGGGTTAACTTCTTCCCCTAATTTATTTTCAGACTTCTTCACCTTTTTTTTTCACCGGTGCGACCACCCTCCTCCTCGCCGTCAATTCGCCGTCCCTGCTCAAAATCTGGGGAGACTAGTAAATCCGAAAGCACTTACCTTGAATTTTCGAAATCCGAAAGTGTGTGTAGAAAAAGCAACCGATAGTTTCATTTTCGAACACTTAGATTGCTTTTTTTTCAAAACTAAAATTAATTTTTTATTACTTACTTTCGGATTTTCGAAATCCGAGACTATAATAATTTTAATTTATCCTATGATTTAATTTAGTCACTTTAGGTTACCAAAGTTTCAAATTTTTCTAATCCAAATCTTCTTTGCCTCAGATTTCGATAGTCCGATTGCTCCTTAGTTTCGGATTTCACAAATCAGACACATTTAGTTTCGTCCACCTAATTTTGGTCAATATTATTTTTGGTCAGGTCCTTTTCTTAATATTTTTTAGGTAAACAATTCTGGATATGTAATCATATTAAGGATTATAAATTTGTATACATATCTTTGTAAACATTTCTAATCATCCTACTAAGAATTCGATAAAAAAAAATATAGAAA